AATGGGTTGGGTTGGAAGGGACCTTAAGGATCATCTCATTCCAATCCCTTCAGGGTTTAAATTGTCATGGAATGGGTTGGGTGGAAGGGACCTTAAAGACCATCCAGTTCCAACCCATTCAGGGCTTAAAATCATCGTGGAATGGGTTCGGTTGGGAGGGACCTTAAGGATCATCTCATTCCAACACCTTCAGGGTTTAAAATCATCATGGAATGAGTTGGGTTGGAAAAGACCTGAAAGATCGTCCAGTTCCAACCCATTCAGGGTTTTAAATCATCATGGAATGGGTTGGGTTGGAAGAGATCTTAAGGATCATCCAGTTCCAACCCCTTCAGGTTGGGTTGGGAGGGACCTTAAGGATCATCTCATTCCAGCCCCTTCAGGGCTTTAAATCATCATGGAATGGGTTGGAAGGGACCTTAAGGATCATCCAGTTCCAATCCATTCAGGGCTTTAAATTGTCATGGAATGGGTTGGATTGGAAGGGACCTTAAGGATCATCCAGTTCCAACCCCTGCCATGGGCAGGGACACCTTCCACTACCCAAAGTTGCTCCAACCTGGCCTTGGACACTTCCAGGGATCCAGGGGCAGCCACAGCTTCTCTGGCAAATCCATTCCACTCCCTTCCCACCCTCACAGCCAGGAATTCCTTCCCATCTATCCCTGCCCTCTGGCAGTTTGAAGCCATTCCCTGTGTCCTGTCCCTCCATCCCTTGTCCCCAGTCCCTCTCCAGCTCTCCTGGAGCCCCTTCAGGCCCTGCAAGGGGCTCTCAGCTCTCCCTGGATCCTTCTCTTCTCCAGGGGAACCCCCCCAGCTCTCCCAGCCTGGTTCCAGAGCAGAGGGGCTCCAGCCCTTGGAGCATCTCCAAGGCCCCTCTGGAATCTCTCCAGCAGCTCCACGTCCTTCCTGTGCTGGAAGGCCCAGAGCTGGACACAGAACTCCAGGTGGGGTCAATGCCCAAGTGACCAAATCATTGATAAACTGAATTAAAATGAATTAAGCAACAAACTAAAGAGCGAACTCACAATTGAAATATTGGAGTTATTTGGGGCAGAGGGGAAACGAGAGGTAAAAATCAGTGTAAACATCATTTTATCCTGGCTGTTATTCCCTCCTTGGTGGATCTGCACCCCAGAGCAGGAGGTTTTCCCCAGGATGTGCCTGTTGGAGCAAAGCCAGAGGGGATCCAGTGGCTGAAGGGGCACAAAGGTCAAAGGACAGAAAATGTTGTTTTTCTACAATTCACCAAAAATAAAAGTGTCACTGGATGGAGCAGAAGGAAAAAAGTGACACCTGGGCAACCAAACCTGGAGCCAGAGCTCAAGGGGTGTTTGGAAAACACCCTCAGGGATTGTTGGGGTTTCCAGGAGTTGGACTGGATGATCCCTGGGGGTCTATCCCAACTCAGGATATTCCATGATTCATTTTCACACAACCAAGTCCGAGGGCAGATCCAAACACCACCTGAAAAATCCGCCCAAATTCCTTTCCCTGGCTCCTTTTAGCAGCAGCCTAAGACAAGAGTCACATCCTGAACATTCCAGGACTTCAGTGTCCAACAAAAAAACAGGAAAAAACGCTACACTTTATACATATTTATATTTATTTTTTGCCATAACTGGCAAACTTTCTGTTGGAATCTGTAGAATCAGCCCCTTTATCCACCTGAATTCCATCATTTGCTGCTCCCGGTTTGGGAAAAGCAGGAATATCTTATCTAGCTGGAAGGGGAAGGGAATTTGACACAACCTGAAGCTGGATGGCAGCCACAGGAGCGGGATTTATCTTGTAAAATATCTCCCAGCTTTTTCCATAAATCCCAGAACGGGAAAAACCGGAGTCGCGCTTTGGCTGCCAAAGCAAAAACACAAAATAAACTCTGGATCAAACTTAATCCACCTTTCTCTGTTCTTCCCAAAACTAAAAGGGAGAAAACTCCTGTTTCTGTCCCAAATAAAACTCTCCTCCAGGTTCTTTCCCTGGGACAGGAAATTAGGAAAACTGTAAGTGGAAGATTTTTATTTTCCTGCGAGAAGTTTGGCATTTTTAGCCACTCAAGTCACTCCCAAGCAATTCCCTCTCCTGCTCCCAGGGACAGGAGGGATTTTAAATCCCAACATGATTTCCTAGAGGACATTTCTCCCGTTATTTTTCCTCGGAGTGACAAAGAATTCTGATTTTATTCACTTATTTTCAAGCAAATAAACACTCGTGGTACCACCGGGCTGGAAAAAAATAGACTCCAGCAGCTCCACAGGCTTCATTCCCACCTTTTATTTTGATCCCAATCGTTCCAGTTACACAGGAGGAAATACAAATTATTTCCTCAGTTCTCCCCCCTTCCAAAAAAACAGCTCCAGGGCCTGGTTTTCCATGTGTTAAGCTCAGGTGTCTGCGATCCCCACAGGCCATGGAACGAGGCCATCCCATGAGGAAATTTGGTCTTTAGCCCTTGGAATGAGCAGTTCCTCCACCAAACAAAGTTTTCTGTGAGCTCACAGTTGTGATTTCCGGAGTTGAAGGCACGTAAAGGGTAAATAAACACTCCAGAGGCTCTGGAAGGAGGAAAAGAACCGGAATGGGACCATCCAAACCCTCCAAGCAGAGCCTTGAGGGGCCAAGATTGTCACATCCCCTCCCATTCCCGGGGATATTTTGTCAATCCCAGCCATATATCACTGGAATTTTGTAGGAGTCTTCCTCCATCTCCATAACCCAGATAAGGAACAGGCTCACAATGCCACAAAATCCCTGTTTTAATATAAATGTCCCCTCAGGAATTCCTACCTGAGGTCCAAAGGACTGGAATGGGACCATCCAGACCCTCCAAACACAGCCCTGGAGGGCCAAGATTGTCACATCCCCTCCCATTCCTGGGGACATTTTGTCAATCCCAGCCATATATCACTGGAATTTTGTAGGATTCTTCCTCCATCTCCATAACCCAGTTAAGGAACAGCCTCACAGTGCTACAAACTCTGTGTTTTAATATAAATGTTCCCTCAGGAATTCCTAGTCCTGGATGGGACCATCCAGACCCTCCAAGCACAGCCCTGGGGGGCCAAGATTATCAATCCCAGCCACATATCACTGGAATTTTGTAGGAGTCTTCCTCCATCTCCATAACCCAGATAAGGAACAGGCTCACAATGCCACAAAATCCCTGTTTTAATATAAATGTCCCCTCAGGAATTCCTGCTGACGTCCAAAGGACTGGAATGGGACCATTGTCACATCCACTCCCACTCCTGGGGACATTTTGTCAATCCCAGCCACACATCACTGGAATTTTGTAGGATTGTTCCTCCATCACTGGAATTTTGTAGGATTCTTCCTCCATCTCCATAACCCAATTAAGGAACAGGTTCACAGTGCTACAAACTCTGTGTTTTAACATAAATGTCCCTCAGGAATTCCTACCTGAGGTCCAAAGGACTGGAATGGGACCATTGTCACATCCCTCCCAGTCCTGGGGCCATTTTATTAATCCCAGCCAGACACACCATTGGAATTTTGTAGGATTCTGTCTCCATAACCCAGTTCAGGAACACTCACACTGCCACAAAATGTGTTTTTTAACATAAATGTTCCCTCAGGAATTCCCGGTGAGGTCCTTTTCTTGAGCACCCAAATCACACTGAGGGCAGGAATTCCAGCTCCGAGGGAAGGAATCGAGCATCCCCCAACAATTCCTGTTGGAAAACACCTGCTGTTATCCCTGGAGGAGAGAGGAAGAGCAACAGCTCTTTGTTCACCACAAATTCCTCTTCTCCAGCTTTGGAAGTTCTCCTGACTCACCCAGCTCACAAACAGTGAGAGAGAGGGAGTAAAATCCTCCTTTTTTTTTGATGCAAAACAAGTGTTTTCACCACAAGGAATAAAAGATCCCAACCCTCAGGAGAGGGAATTGCTCAGGAAAACACTAATTATAAACACAAGGCCCTCAAATATCTTTAATTAATGGATAAAAGGTGATGGCACAAGGATCTCTGTCTTCAATGCTTGTTTTTCCCTCTTCACTCTCTGAATTCCTTGTAAATGCGATGATCCATCATCCTGCTCCTTCCCAAACATTCCATGTCTTGCTCAGGTGTCATTTCCTTGATGATTCCAGGGATTCCAAACCCAAAAGGCTCTATATGGACGTTTTTGAGCCCCGTGTGAATCCCAAACTTCCACACCTTCCAAATCTGCTTCTCCTGGGAAGAAATTCCCCCTTCGACCCCATTTTCCTTCACTTCCATATCTATTACAGCTTATACCTGGAAATTATGAATTATAATTATTAATTAGGATGATTAAAGACCCTCAGGGAAGAGGGTATTTTTACCACAGGCTGGATTAAGCTGTAAAATATTCCCATGGAAATTTATGAAGGATTATTTTGTTAAGACAACGACTTTGTGATGGGGAAAACGTGTGTTTTTAAGGAAATACAGGGAGGGAAATTTATCTCAACTTTGGCAAATTTATCTCCACTTTACCTGTCTCAGCTCTTTTGCCTCTTCCTGGGAGACCTTCTCGTGCTGCTGCAGCTGAACCTGCTCGTTGTCCATCCCTTCCCTGCTTCCTGCTGGAGATCCAGGCTGCACCACCCCTCCCAGGAGTCCCGTGGCTGCAAGAGAAATTCCCATGGTCAGACTGACAATTCCCAGTTGGAAATCGGGAAAAATTCTTCCCCTGTGAGGGTGGGGAGGGACTGGAATGGATTTCCCAGAGAAGTTGTGGCTGCCCCATCCCTGGAAGTGTCCAAGGCCAGGTTGGAGCAATCTGGGCTAGTGAAAGGTGTCCCTGCCTGTGGTAGGGGTGGGATGAGATGGTCTTGAAGGTCCCTTCCAACCCAAACCATTCTGGGATTCCAAGATTCCCTGATTTGATTCCATGATTTGAGTTTGGGAGGGTGAACTCAGAGAAGCCCAATCCAACCTTAACCATTCAATTCTATCCTTCCAGGAAGGATTCCAGCTGTATTTCCCACACCACCCATCCTGGAGGGGACCAGGTTGCCAAGAGATGATTTACCATCAAAGGCAGAATTTGGAGAATTGGGTCATTTTGGGCTGTTTTAACAGGATTTCCACATATCACGTTTCCAATCACATAAACAAGGATAATCCCAGAATGGTTTGGGTTGGAAGGGACCTTAAATCATCCAGTCTCACCCCCTGCCACAGGCAGGGACAACTTCCACCATCCCAAGTTGCTCCAACCTGGCCTTGGACACTTCCAGGGATTTTCCACCTGCTGCTTCTGCTCCCTGTGATCTTTTCATTCAAGAACTTTGAAGTGATGGAGCAGGGACAGAGCCCAAAGGTCAAGGCAGCAAAATCCAGGAAGGGAAGGACAACACTGCTGGTGACACCAACCCCCAGCTGAGCAGCAGGGACACGATCCCACAATCCCTCTGGAAGCTGTTTCCTGTCCTTCCAGCTGCACTCACAGGGCAGGGAGGCCCTAGCACAGGTTGTCCAAAGAAATTGTGGATGTCCTATCCCTGGAAGTGTCCAAGGCCAGGTTGGATGGGGCTTGGAGCAACCTGGGCTAGTGGAAGGTGTCCCTGCCCATGGCAGGGAGTGGGATGAGATCATCCTTAAGGTCCCTTCCATCCCAAACCATCCTGGGATTCTATGGAATATCAAGACAAAGCCCAGCTACTCTTCCCGAGGAGGATCATCCTCTGATGTTCATAGATGGGTTGGAGAACTGGTTGCTAAAGTCTCATGTCCCTTGAGTGGGAATTCAAGGAGATGGTGCTCAGTGCAGACCACATTTAGGATTCCAGAGGGACCACTCCACTCTCCAGAAGCTGTGGAGATTTTGGGACACTCAATCATTCCTGGGGCTTCTGCTTTTAAAGGAGAAACCCCTCAAACAGTGAAACTTCCACCCAGAAACAATCCTGCAGGAATTACAGGGAGCTTTAATATCCCACCTGGGGCTGGGACAGCTGAGCTCCTCACTTGGGAATAACAAATTATCCCTAAAAAAAACAAAGGAGGAAGGGAACTAAACCTTGTTCCTGCTGCTCTTTCAGGGCTTTGCTCCATTTGGCACTGGAACAGAAAGGTCAACTGTCCCCAAGGGCTGGGGATGGAGACACGAGGAGGTGTCACCACTGGGAGATTCTTCAAAGTGAAAGTAGGGATAGATGGGATATTGGGAAGGAATTCTTGGCTGGGAAAGTGGGGAGGAACTGGAATGGATGTCCCAGAGAAGCTGTGGCTGCATCTGAATCCCTGGAAGTGTCCAAGGCCAGCTTGGAGCAACCTGGGAGAGCGGAAGGTGTCCCATGGCAGGGGGTGGGATGAGATGATCCTTAAGGTTCCTTCCAAGCCATTCTGGGATTTTATCTCCAAAGTTTTCCCACCTGGGCACCAGCAAGGAAACCATTGTCCCAAGGCCACCTGGGAGCACCAAGGCCAAGGACAACAGATTGGAATCCATGAGGACACAAAGCCTGGCACATTCCAGAGCTCTGTGCCAGCTCCAAGTGCTGCCACAGCCCAGCTCTGGATACCATTCCTTTTTCCTGGAAAAGGGAGCCAAAAGCTAAACCAGAAGCACCAAACCCTAAATCCCTCCCAGGGAATTCCTGCAAACTCCTAATCCCTGGAATTACTCCGTTATCAGTCCCTGGACTCAGACACTGCCCAGGTGCCTTCACTGGATTGTGCTCCTTGTTTTCCAAAGGGGAAAAGAACCAGGCACTGAAAAATGGGAAATCAGTGTCTTGGTGTCCTTCCCAGGAAAAGTGGGGTGGGAATGACAGAATTCCCTATGGCAACAAACAGCCAGAGGAGGTTCTTTGTGTTTCTCATCAGCTGAGTGTCACCCTGTGCTAATTAATTAATTAAAATCAATTCATCCATCCATCCATCTCCATTAATCCAAGGACAAAAAGAGCAGGATGAGCAAGGAGAGCTGGAATTTCCCAGTAATTTTTTAGGGAGATATTGGATAAAAAGGCAGAAACACTTAAAAAAGCAATTTGGTTTCATTGGTGTCACTTCCAAAAAGCCACCAAAGCTCGGAACAAAGTGCTGGAAACTCCAAAAAATGAGCAAATTTACGGAGAAACAGGAAAAATTCAGCAGTTTGTAAAGGGATAAAAAAACCTGTGGATGCTAAAATTCAGCTACAGGACCCAGACAGCCCCAAATTGTTGTGCTGCAGAGGCACTTTAGGATTTTAATCCCTTTTTTTTTAATCCTGGGAAGGTGCTGTCAACCATTCCAGAGGGTGGAATTGGCTCAAAACTGAATAAAATCAAATAAAACAAGTGCCCTGAGCGTTTAAACGCCCCCATTTGGCCAAAAAAAAGAGGGAGGAAAGAAGTGCAAAGCACCTAAAAATCCTTTCAGATAATCTGGGGGGGTAGAAAACCCTCCAGAAATTCCTCTTTCAGGTGGAATTATGCCAAAAATCTTAGGAAAAGGGATTATTTATTTGGAATATGAAGAACTTTAAACAGAGGCTCCAGGTGAGGTTGTGACAGTTTGGGGCAAAATCCTTCATTTTAAGGATTTAAAAATTTTAATTAAATTAAACTGTTTAAATTTAATTTTAATTAAATTTTTAAATTAATTAAATTTAAATTCAAATTTTTAAATTAATTAAATTTAATAAAATTTTAAATTCATTAAAATCCTTAATTTTAAGGATTTAAAAAGGGCAAAATCCTTAATTTTAAGCAGGATGGACCTTTCCTGCCGGGATATTTCTCCTAGAAATCCCTAAATTAATTAATTATCTGAAAAAATAAAGCTTTTTCTGTGTACAGGGGCACAAAACAAGGATTTTTTTCCCCCTTGGATTTTAGGGAAAAAAAAAAAAAGAGGATATCCATGGAAAAAAATGCCAGAGGTTCAAAGGCAGCCCGTGGGTGCCACCTTGTGACAGAAGGAAAAACAGGGATAAACTCCAGGGAAGGGACAAACAAGGGAGCTGGAAAAGCTGGAAAAGTCGGGATTGCCATAAAATTCGGTTTTCTTGAAGCTCATTTCCAAAGGAAACAGGGAAAAGGCAGCAGGGAAGGAGAAATATCCTTCCTTCCCTCGCTCAGAGCAGTGGGAAAAACCTGGAGAGGGCTGGAAAAAAGGATTATATATTATATTATATTATATATTATATTATATATATATTATACTATATTATATATTATATTATATTATATATATTATATTATATTATATATATTATTATATTATATAAAAGGATTTTATATAACCAGCCTTCAGGCCCTCAGGAATTGGACTCCAATTGGTTGGAATAATTTAGAGCAGGTTGTTTTTCCTCTAAGCTGCTGTTGGATTTGAAGTGCCAGATGCCCCAAAAACTTCCTTCCTTCCAAATTAACCAGGTTTTTCCAAGTTTTTTCCCTTTCAAAATACCCTCCCCTGCTGAATTCCAGGATGTTTGGTACAGGGAAAGATGTGAATTTATTACTTTATCCTGTTTTTTCTGCTGGGTTTTTAATAAGCTGGGAGTAAATCCAGGCCTGGAGTTGTTCTTTTGTCATTAAAAATTAGGGGGAAAAAAAAGAGGATTTACATAAATAAATTAAATAAATTCCTAAGTGACATATATGAAATGAATCCAGGGTTGAATTACAAAAAAAACTAAGGAAAAACACTTGGAATTTTAGGAGAATGAAGAGGAGTAAGGAATGTCAAGCTGATTGTTGGGAAAGGGTTTCAGTCTCCCTTGTTTCCTTGAAATCTTAAAATCAACAAATCTGAAGCCTAAAATCTCCCAAATTTAAACATTTGGACTGTTCAAATGCCAAAATTTAGAGTTTTTTAGGAAAAAATTTAGTAGGAAGATCAATATGATGTTTATCCCACGATTTATTGAATTCCTGGAATGGATATTTGGGTTAAACTTCCTGTATTTAACTGAAGGTCAGGTTTAATATCATTATTATTCATCTATTCCAGCCAGGAATGATAAAGGAAAAACAGCAATGATGGAGGGTTTGAAGTCACCTTGAGGTTATTCCTTGGATTTTATCATCACCACTGTTGGGACAGGGAGGGAAGGATTTGCCTTGGGAATATTTTGGGGTTGGAAAACCCTTGGAAACCTCTGGAGTCAAAGCTGC